GCAAGAGGCAGGAAGGGCTTTTGCTTTTTGTTAAACTTGCAAACAAGCCACAGAACACAGACTGCCTGAGATTGTTCCTTCCTACGAATGTCTAACAGGAATGCAACTTCATAGGTGTTTAAGAACAGCACCATTGAAAGCCAGTGTGAAACACAGGAGCTGCCACATCAATACACAATTATAGAACTGAGCTGCGGGTCCTTTTCCTTCTCTCCCCCGTCTTTGAACCCTCGGTGCCCACCGAGTGAGACCACCAAGGACATGGCTGTTCTTTCAATCTCATTTTGGAAGCGTCCATCTCACTGAGCATCATGTGACAAGCTGTCAGCCCCATCCACAGCTTCCTTCAATTTCCCCATTGAACAAGTGCAGGGATCATATTTTAAGCCTCACCACCATCTTAAGTATTGTTATTATAGTCCCACTTTACACGTGAAGAAACAGCATAGACCGATTTAGATGTTTTTCCAGAGTTCCTGTGCTTAACATCATGCTGTGATCTCTTTGGGTACTCTACACTCATTATTCCATCCTCAACCCAAACTTGACAGCTATAGTAAAAAGGCCAGTAGAGTACTGAGCTGGACTGACTGGGAGTTTTGAAAGTTCCTTTTCCCCCTTCCACACCAAACTGCTGATGGTCAAAATGGGGTCGATAACAGGAGAGCTCTGGGAGGTTCAGGGCAGTTCAATTTTATAAGCCACATCCTACGATGGCCCCATTTATTTAAAGACACAGTCCTCTAGGCAGGGGATACCGACAAAGCTAGAGGTCATTGGCCACTGGAGAAGAGAAGTGTGCAAAACAGATGACGAATGATTTTACCAACGCCTTTGGAGGAAGAGAAAGGTAAAGTCAGTGAGCCCTATCAGCAGAGCTTGCAAGGTGCACTGTGCTTGGGATGTGAGGCTGCCTTTTCCAGTGGCTCTGCACTTTCAAGGACATTGGCTGTGCTAGGGCTGTGCTGGTGGGGGTAGGCCGTAAGATGACAGCTCCCTTATGAGCTGTAATTTCAGTTCCTAGCCAAGTGAGTTAAAAGTCTACTAGATAATAGAACATTTCCATGTTATGGTTTTCAGAAATATGGGATGATAGAAGTAGAGTAAATTTCTAGACAATAAATTTCAAGACAAAGCCTAACACACACACACACACACACACACACACACACACACAATGACTGTGTTTTTGATAAAGGATTGATTAGAGGGTTTTTCCAAGGATCTGGCAAAGTAACGCTTGAAAGGACTTTAGCATAGCCTTAAGATTCATAAGAACTATTAACCTCCTTGTGCCATCATTCTGAAAAAAAATTTAATGGAGAAGTCGGGGCTTTCCTTAGGGGGTTTCTAATACATGGGTATGACTACTTTATTTTTAAGTTTACAGTGTTAAATGTAAGTATCTTAGTAGGTAAGTAGCACCCTTCTATTTATACTACTGTGGACCTCCTACATTTAGAAGAGAATAGACATGGGGAGAGAAAGAGCAATTCATCCAATCGGATCCCTGAATTTATCTGGTGTTAAGGCTGGGGAGAAACATGGTTTTAAAATAGTGTTTTATACTATTTTGATCAACACTCATTAGAACAAATTGTAATAGCTTGCTAACAAAACTTTCCAAGCATGGTAAGTTCTATGATGGCAGGACCGTGTCTCAGCCCTCAAGTGTCCCCAGTCTTTAGAGGGGTGACTGGCATATGGCTGGTGCTCAACTAATGTCTATGTGTATGTACATATATACATATGTATGTATGTATGACCATATTACCAAGGTTCCTCCCAGCTTATCACTCCGATGATGATGACAATGGTTTATGACGATGATGAAGATGATGATGATGGGGGCAGTAGCTCTATGTTATTGGAATGCAGCATCTATTCATTTGCCCAATACGCCCAGTAGGTAGTTAACATTACTGCTCCTCACAGGTGAGGGAAGTGAGGGCCAGTGATGTGCCATAACATGCCAAGGAGACACTGCTAGAAAGTGGCAGAACTGGGATTTTAACTAACACCCCAGCATCTGGAATCAGAGTATTTAGTGACTGTTCTAGACTGCCTCCAATAGCTAGTATTTGTTTGAGGTGGTAAATTTGAATTCTTGCTAAAGTCAAGAAAATGAGTCCTTTAGCTGATTTTAACAACACACAGGGGATAGAACAGGAAGGGTTTCTATTTTGCTAAACATTCCAGTTGAGTTCATGTTTTGTGGTAGCTGAGATCTTCAGAATATCACCTCTGGTGATTTGGTAATAATTCTACAACGCATCTTTAAGCTATTTCGACTGATGCAGAAATGTATTTTCAGCACGTGCTTTGTTACAAAGTAGCAGTGGGGCTCTCAGTAGTTTATAAAAGTCAACTTAACTAGTAATTAAATACAAGATGATCTGTAGCAATAAACTAGTAATTAAACCAGAGGGCAAAAGGTACCGCTTTGCACCATATAATTTATTTAAGGAAATTCAGACTTAGTAAAAATAAAGATTTTTTTAAATCTTGAAAAAAAGTGTCTGGATATTTTTATAAAGACTTTTAGAGATGTTTTACACAGGTCTTTTCATTTCAAATTTTCCTTGAAAATATATTTTCCTGTTCTTTGTACCTGGATGGAGGTGATGTTACATCCTCATACTTGATGGAGTGATTAGATTGATTTGATGTCAAGTTTTAAGAAAAAGTAGACACAATGTAAGGGAAGGTGGAAGGGAGTGATCACCAGTGAGTGCTAGGCAGGGGTGACCACAAGAAGGGGCTGCAAGGGAGGATGTGAGCAGGGAGAAGAGAAATTATATACTAGGGTTCTTCATGCAGGACAGGTCAGGAGGGATGACATGGTATATCAGAAGCCCTGTGAGGAAGGAGTACAGCTGTGGGAAGAAGGAGTACAGCTGTGCGTGTGTGTGCACACGTGTGTATATATATGCTGTGTGTGAGTGTATGTATGATGTGCATATGTGTGTGTCTGTGAGTGTATATATAGTGTGTGTGTATGTATGCTGTGTATGTGTGTGTATGAGTGTATGTATGGTCTGTGTGGTGTGTGTGTGAACATATGTATGATGTGTGTGTGTGTGTGTGTGCAAAGTGCCATATAATAATGTATTCTTATCTCTGTCACTGTCTTTGTGCCCATTATTGAGATGATAAGAGGGTATAAAGATGATTAAGATATTGGGGCTAGAGAGATGGCTCAGCCCCATCTGGGCTGGAGAGATGGTTGTTCTTGCAGAAGACCTGGGTTTGAATCCCAGCACCCACATGGCAGCTAACAACTGTCTGTAACTCCAGTCCCAGGGAACCCGACAGGCTCTTCTGACCTCCGCGGGCATTACACGACATGGGTGCACTTACCTACATGCAGGCAATACATGCATACACATAAAAATAATAAAAAAAGATGCTGTGAGATGTTGTGTATGAAATACACAAAAATTCAATTAAAAGTGTATATTAAAAAAGATCTGAGTTCAGGAGGCAGAAGCAGGCAGATTTCTGGTCTCCACAGCCAGTTTCAGGCCAGTTAGGGCTAGACAGTGAGACCCTGTCTGAGAGAGGAGGGGGGCTTATAGAGTTCAATTTTTTTGAGGAAAAGTGATAATAAAAAGCAAACAAATATATGAAAAATATAATAATAAATGTTGATAACATCGAGGATGAAGGAACAAAAAGAATAAGTAACAGGGCACCAAACCCAAAGTAAAATCTCTCAGAGGAAATGAGACAGAAGTCCACAGAGGAAGGGGATGGAAGGGCCTGGGGAGGTCAGGACTGCAATGCTCTGAGAACTGCAGGGGAGCCAGTGACTGGAGCTCATGCGGAGGGAGACAAGGATGCCACAGGTGAGAAGAGGTGGGCAAGGGGCGAGTCCTCTAGGCCAGCCCTTAAGACCTAAAATTGAACTCCAAGTACAGAAGGGAGCCCCTGAGAGATTTTAAGGGATGGGGTGATGGGGTCAGAAGTTCCATAAAGACGGCATGGGCTGCTAGAAAGACCACGTTTAGAGGTTAAGGCGTTGCCACGTTCATCATGGAAAACATGTCCTTCTGTCCCTTCACAGGCACTGCACAGACTGGTGAGACTGCCACCTGGTCTTTTATAAAAATATTTTAGTTATTATTTTTGTTTTATGTGTGCGTGTATTGCCTGCACATCTATTAGTGCACCCATGTCGTGCAATGCCGCGGAGGTCAGACGAGGGCTTCGGATTCCCCTGAAACTGGAGTTAAGGATGGTTTGTAGCTGCCATGTGGGTGCTGGAATCGAACCCGGGTCCTCTGCAAGAGCAGTCAGTGCTCTTAACCTCTGAGCCATCTCTCCAGTCCTCATCTGGTCTTTTATAGTTGGAAGGACTCTGTGTGAGCGACATGGCTTTGAGACTTTTGGATTTTACAGAGCCACAGGAAACAAAGACAGGGCTTCACAGAGTCTTACAAGTTCCTCTCAGTAGAGTAAAATCTCCACTATCTATGCTCACCTTCACTGCACAAGAGAAACGTGTTTTAAATATTGATATAGGGACATTATCTTAGGTGAAAATCCCGATTTCGAGAAAATGCTGCATTTTCCTTTTTTTCACATTTTGGGCTAGAACCAGTTAGCACCCCTGAACAGATGGGGTGTCAATCCACAGATGGGTGTTTAGATCATCAGGACTTAGGATCATGTCCTCTGCCCCAGCTTGCAGATGAGGAAACCTCAGTTCCTGTAGGTGTGTGGCCTCCCCAGGGCACAGTGCCTGCACACAGGCTCCTGACTCCAGGCTAGTTCTCATCCCAATACGTCATCGTGCCATATACTCTGCTTATTTCTTATGCTTTGCCAAGGTTCAAACAAACCCTGTACCATCTGCCCCTGTTTAGTGCCACATTCATTTCCCTGCCAGAGTTTCTGGGGGATGAGATGCCCATTATGAAACACTCAGAGAAATAGCCTTTGGTCTGGGGCGCCACAAAATGGAATCCCTTTCTTTTCAAAGAGAAGGAGTATCTCACCTGATTTTTAGGTATGCTGCAACTCCAAACACCAACAACACCACAGCAATGACTGTCACAGTGATGGCGGCGATGCTGCCTGTGAAAGAAAGGCCCAGAGAAGACGATAAAGGAGCTAATCCATACATTCTAGAATGTGCAATACCTACCCTTGACTCCTTTGAAAGAGGAGAAAGCTATTTACTTCAGATCGTTTGGATGGAAGCCAGAACCAGAGCAAAACTTGGAATCTTAATTCTGTTACCAGAACTTTTTTCTTAAATACCAAGTGAGTTTCTGTAAATGATCATGAATGTTTTCGTCTATAGTTTGAAATCTGGTTCCAAAAGCAACTATTAATGGGAAGTAAAGACAGGCAGGCAGATAGACCAACCTGTAGGCATGCCTTGTAAGTATAACCGTACTGAATCTGAATATTTCTCTGGGATATAACACTCTTTCTGTGTGAGCTTTGAACTAATAATGCATATACTTTAATTTTATTCTACCTTAGAAGTGCCAAGAATCAATTGGGCTTTCGTCCCCGAATATTTCAAGTGACTTCGGCATTACATTTGATGTAACAGGTCCGTTTATTCTTTCAGGACATTGGGAAATTACTTATCACTTTAACAAGTGAACAGAACTTTTCTTGAATACCTGGAGAAAAGCATGCGAGATCTGGAGTCAGATACGTAGATTGAAGTGTGTGCACAACCATGATTGGTTGTGTGACCCTGCTGATGCAGGCATTACCAGCAGAGACAGAGGAATAAGTGTGTTCTGTTCATCTCACATGATTTTAAGGTGGGTAATTGAGATGTCATGTGTCCCAATACAAACTATCCAAATGCATGATCCTGTACCATTTCTTACCTCTTGTGCGTGAGTCTGATCCTCACATTCTTGAAGGCTTATGAGCTATAAATTATTTTGTATCTCCTTTTATCCCCCCCTGGCTATGAATGGCTTTCCTTTTTTGTCCTTTTTTTCTATCCTTTCTACCAAAATAATTAGAGCACTACAAAATAATTAGACACTTAATACTTTAGTAATTACCCAGAAGTTTTAGGTGAAAGAAGATTGCATCAGGCATCCACATTACCTGTGGTTCCAGGAGAGCCAATAGGAATCGTTGCTAACACAAAAACAATAACCAGAGCTTGATGTTTCTGTGGACAGTGGCCACATTCAACCACGGAAGAGCATGCGCACCTCTGGATATTCACATATCCATTTCTTTGATCTTGGAATGCTTTTGAGTCAGATTAGTGTAATTAACAATATGCTTCCCTTTTTACCACATAAGATAGAATTACGGCAGTGATTGCTGAAATGCATGAATCTGGTCAAGCAGAGAAAGTCTGAGGTCAGCTCCTCTTATGAAAAACCACTCCTACTTTGAAAGGCAGCTCTTAGCATCTTGGCCTCCAAACTGTGCTGAAATTAGAACAATTCAAAGCTCACTGAAGCCTCCTAACAGCTCTCTTGTGAAAGGAGGGTATAACCACAAGGTAAAGTAAGGGGTTATTTTAAGATTAGAAAAGATACAGTCATTGCAATTATGAGTGGTTTTAAAAACTGACCTTTAATTTAATTTAATTTAATTTAATTTCTTCCCTCTTAAAAAAAAGAAGAGAAGGAAGATAGCTGACTCCAACAAAACACTCCTTTTTTTTTTTTTCACCCTAAGGCAACTTTAGTATAGGAAATCGTAGGTTTGACCTTCAGAGTTTCTTTCCTAACTCTAAGCAGCTGGGTCTCCTCCAACTCTGCCATTTACCAAGTTTATTTATATACCACTTCTTTCTAAAATAAGTCAGGCAGTTCCCTCAACTCAAGTATTGTTCTTTTTGTTGTGGAGACAGCATGTGACAGAGCATCCTGCTTCTTCTCCACCACACTGTAGCTGTTGGGCTCCAGGTGCAGGTCCAGTCTTCAAATGAGGATCTTCAAGGCCACCCTTCCATCTCCACAGATGACATCATCCTTATTACCAGAGTTGGAGATTGCATGTGACTTTCTACCTGATAGGCTCCTGGGGGCGACTGGGCAAAGGAACACTTTTGAGAGTTGGTTCCATCCAATATGAGGCTAAAAGGTATGAGGTAAACTAGTTCACACTTAAGTTCTGGACCTCTTTCTGAGCCCTATTCTCTCACCCCTTGGCTGTTCTCAGAAAGTGCTAGCCCTAAGAGCCAGAGTCTTCTGGAAGGATATTCTTAAGAGCCATGTGCCAGGAGATCCTGTGTTCTGAGCTTTCACCTCCATGGCAGCTGTTGCCTTGGGTTCCAGTCATCTGGGCCCTGGGAAGTCCCACACCGAGGGCTTCATGGTTTGAGCACGTGCAGGGGTTAAGTCAATGCGAGCACAAGTTTCTGCGGTAACTGAAAAGGCTTTGTTTCCTCCTTGTGAAAACATGTCATTTCCCCCTAAGTTTTGTTTAAAGGAAGCAGGAATTCCCCTTGTCTCCCTAGTCTCACTTTTTTTTTCAAGATGGGGCAGGGAGAAGAAAGAGGAAGGTATAGCTTTGCCAGGAGCTTTACCCATGAGGAAGGTGCAGGACACTCGTGAGCTGTGTGATGGGAAGGGGCAAGGGGTGTGGGAAGCTGGCTGACACTTGAGTTCTTTCTTACCAGCATGTGTAATTTACAAGCAAGGTCTGACTCATGCCATAAAGTTATGGAATGGGCAGAAGTTAAGAGATAATTGGAGGAAACTTACCTGTATATTATATAAGCCAAGGTACAAGAGTAGTCCTCCGTGCCAGCACATCTCACTGTGCCAACATGTTCTGCCTAACCAAAGGGTATTGAAGACCTAGAAACCAAACCTCCTTGAACTTCATGCCTCCCCAAAGCTGGGATTTTTCAAGGTACCTTTTTGCCATTTTCATAATGGCCCAGAATGAGAACAAATGGGCTCAAGACTAACGGTAGCGCCCTACCTTCTGCAGGTGATTACTTTGGGCAGGCCCTCAGCCAAGAAGATTATAGCTATCATTTCATTTAAGTATCTTTATGAGATGAATGGACTTACACCCATTTTATAGTTGAGGAAGTTAAGGCCTAGAAAGCTTAAGATCCTGATTAAAGTTTTACATTTGGTAAATCATTAAGCTAGCATCTGAACCCAGGCCTGTTTTGTCCAGTGCTTGCATTTTTAATCATTAATATGCTAGTTACTTCCTCTAGCTCTTTTCCCAGCCTGTTCAGTTCCTGTTTTTCTCCTTCATGACTTAACTAAATTTCGTGGCTTCTGAGAAGCATTCCCTGACACTTCAGTAGCTACCAGTGCTTGGGGTGCTCCTGCAGCTCCACGTCTCCCTTCTTCAAACACTGGATTGTGTGGATGAGCTTTCCCAGGTGGTTTCTAATCATACCCATCTTGCAACTCCTTCCGATTTCTTTGCATGCTTTATCACTATGCATAGTCTTTAAATGAGTATTTAACCCTTTCCTTCAATGTTGAATCAATAAATGTAATACTATCGGGGAAAATTATAAATGGAAGTTTTGGTGCCAATCACCTTACTAAGAAAGTTCTTGAATAGCAGGCTCTCTACCTTCACCCTGGAATCCTCTGTTCCAGGTTTTACTGAAATATCTACCCATAGGGTTCTGTGCCTCACCACCAAAGAACCTTCCCCTTCACATTGTTCACTTGTCAGTCTCCATGGATGACCCACATCGATTGACTGGAGGAGAGTTAATTTAGGAATAACCGAGTATAGTCAGATTAAATCTGCAAAGCAGCCACAACAAACTCCCAAAGGGTCATACTCCTGGTCAGGATGGCCAACTACTCTTCCAGGTCCCAAATGCACCGAGGCAGTCCTAGAATAAACCGTAATGCTATTTTAAGGGTTTCTTTCTTCCATGCTTGCCTCTTACTCACAGACAGTGACTTTCTGTCACACACTTGAGGGCTCTGCTCAAGTCCCTGCTACCTCCTGCTTCACTAGACCCCTCAGGTCTTCCTGGGTTTAGCAACATCCCCCAAACTCAAATACTCCTTGAGGAATCTTCTCTGCGAGAGGACTCTCCACACTCCAATTAAACATGAAAGAAGTCTTTCATTTGAACTTTTTGGCTGGAATACTTGCCAATTGCAGCCAAAATGAAAACACTAGTATGTGATATATGGTGTATTTAAACACCTTCTGAATGAATTTGAATGGCACTTTTAAAAAGGGGTCTTTGCCAGCACAGGGGAAGGAGGAGGTGATGGAAGAGTTTCTAGGAGGAGAGAGAGAGAGAGAGAGAGAGAGAGAGAGAGAGAGAGAGAGAGGAGTGCCTAGCCTAGTTCCTGTCCATTGTTCTGACTCTTGAGTCACACACTTGTGGAGAGTTCATCAGTATATTTAGCACAAATGCGTGAGTGATTGACCAGAGTCCTGGGCGTGTGCACATACACCTCGCTATATTTAAGAAGAGTCATTAACAACTCTCTTACTGTTCTTCAATATTGTCATTCTTCCCTTCCTTCTTTCTAGTCTAGAGATTCAGGAAGAAACAGAAGAGGAACAAGTGGCCACTTCAGAGTGTGAGGCAGGTCCTTCAGTCAAGGCCATCAAGAGGAAAGGAATACTTTATCTTAAAGGAATTCTTTCTCTTTCAAAGTACTTTCCAAAGATGTTTTGGTGGAGGGGTAAACCAACAGAACAGTGCATACCCGAATTTCCATTTCTTATGCTAGGTTCTTCCACTTTACAGAGATGACATATTTCCTCCGAAGAACAATAGTGATAATAGTAATAAACAACAACAATACAAACACTGGCAATTAGTACTTTCTGGCTGTTACTTTGTGAGCTTCAATCATTTGTAATTACCCCTTAAAAGAACTCCTTAAGGTAAATATTTTTGCTATTTCCATTTTATAGATGGAGAAACTGAGGCACAGAGATAAACAGGGCCCCAAATCATGTTGGTAGCTAGAAGAGTCAGTGGCTATGCAAGTGCTGGCCTGGTTTCTACTAAATGCTCCTGCTACCCTGGACTATAATGTCAGAGCTGAGCCAACCTTCAGCTAAAGCCTGTAGCTCTTGGCATCCTCTGCTTTCTGTCAGCTCTTAGGACTCACAGCCTAATTCAGGAT